GGCATAGTCTCTAGCATCTCATCAAGGTCACCTACTTTTTCGATTTTCGAAATCACCCATGCATAACCGTCCAGGCGCCATTTTGTCCGTTTCTGGTCCATTTTAAGGCCTTTCTATCTTCCTTCCTATCTCCACTATCCTAGATCCTACACATTTCTAACAAATTCCTCTCGATAGTCTAAGAGATGTCCTTTCGTCTGCGACTTATATCTTGCCCTTCAAAATGCCATCTTCATACTCAAAATTCAAATCTGAAACCGTCTCCGTCAACAATCTCTCAAATTCTTGAAAAATTGACCCCTAAATAATCTAAAACTGCCATAACTTTCTCATATAAATTCCTTTTTGTATTTAAATCACACAGTATCTTTATCTCATAATTGCACATAGCCATGCCAAATTTCACGCTCTAACGGCTTTGCAAAACATAAATAGCGCCCTCTAAAGTTCTGGGAATTGGCTTTCTTTCTATGGCCGTATCTCCATTATGGCTTGGCAAATCCGTACCCTTTTTTGGATTTAGATACTTGAAGATATGCCCTTTCCAGCCATATAGAAAATTATATAACCTTACACTGACTGACTTTGAGAAAAATGTCCTCCAAATTCGCCATTTTCAAGAAAATTCCAAAATAACTTAAACTTGCTCTAAAATGGCGATCTTTATACCTACATCAATGAAACTTTGCACACATATGTATCCATATACGTGACAACTGCCTGCCAAGTTTAGTAAATTGTAATGCCCTCGTTGCAAAGTTATCGTCAAAAAACGATGAATTTACTATGCATTACGTAATAGCGCGTTTAATGCGTGCAATACATTGCGCGGAGATAACAATGGTGTCAAACTGACCGCAATGGAGTGCCCTTTCGCATGATACCAAGTATAGTATATGGTCACACAGAAAATTGTGAGTAAATCGCATTTGAACAAAGGTCACTAAACGAATTCCGCCGAGTTTCCGCCCGAATCTAACACGTATCGACTATGACGTCATTTTTTCAGACTGCTTTTCGCCCCTTAAACGTCCTTTTTTTTCCTTGAAAATTTGCAGTGACATGACGAGTTTCAATACGCAGGGCACCTTTTGGCCGGATTTTTGAAATTGGTCAAGGGTGCCATTTAAGACGCCATTTTGTCCTATAAATCTATTTTACATCACGTGTTTCGATAGGATTATCATAAGAAAAAAAAGAGTGGTTTACAATAACAACCATGAAATTCTCTTTCTAATGATACCAAATACGGCCCATAAAGAGACGTGAAGAGAGAGAGAAAAAACAATTTAACTCCGGTCATAATACAGATCCTGTACGTTTTCCGCCCATGCATTACACGCATTGTCTATGGGGCATATCGGGTTCAGGCTTTTGGCCCCCAGAACGATCTTGATTGCAATGACGAACATGCACCAAATCCCATTGGTTTTTGCACGCAGTGCTTGCGAGCCCTTTCTAGGTTCTTTCCCCTATCCCAATTTCTTTCAAACTCCGTAGGCATAGTCACTACTATCCCATCAAGGTCACTGTTGAGGCCTTTCTTTCGCCCTACCTATCTCCAATATCACAGAAGCTACAGACTTCGTACAAATTGCTCTGGATAGTCCGAGAGTAGCTCTTTCGTTTGACACGTAGAAACATGGCGTCATTGCACGCACATCGTTGTGACACGATTGCATTTCTAGTTTCGTGTATGAAGATGTAATTTCATAACCAAACAAAAACGGGAGTATAAGGTTTACAAACCATGGTCTCCAAGGTAGGGATAATCACGTTATTATAATGGTGATATTGCAGTGACAATTGCGTGATTTAGTGTACGTGTGTTTTAAGTTACCTAATGCAATAAACGTATTAACACATTTACGTAAATGTCCGGTGTTTGAAGAACGTAACTCTCCTCAAGTCGATACCTTGATATTGACGTGATTTTCACGTGATTTTGTTTATTGGGTAAGTGGTAGGGGAGAGGAAGGATGGAAGAGGGCGAGGAGGACAAGAATGAAGAGGAAGAAAAGTGGAGGATAAAGAGAAGAAGGAGGACAGGGAGGAGCAAGGGGATGAAGAGGAAGAAAAAGGAGGGGTAGAGGGAGGAAGAGGAAGGGGAAGGGGAGGAGAAGGAGGAGGAGGAGGAGAAGAGTAGAAGATTGAGGAGGAGATTGAGGAGGAGATTGAGGAGGAGATTAAGGAGGAGATTGAGGAGGAGTAGGAGGAGGATGAGGAGGAGGGGGAGAAGGTTATGATGATGCAGGGGAGGGGAGGAGGTAGAAGAGGAATAAGGTGGGGAGGAAGAGGGGTGGGAGGGAGAGGAGTAGTACGAAGAGCTTACTATCGACTCTCTTTTTGTTTTATTCCACACAGCCTTGCCTGTTTTATCGGTTACGTCCAAGCCGACAAAAACATCTTGTCCATACGAGTTCAGCCAGCAAAGCACCTCGCCGACATCCTTTAAGTGTAAGATGGTGCGACTACCCGATGGCACCTTGTTGCAGACCGTCCCAAAAGTTTTCTCTCCTTCTGCTTTCGTTGCTGGAAACATTCCTGGCAAACATATAATATGCAGAATCCCGGGTAAGTATCATGCTTTCGTGGTATTATACAGTGCGTCCCAGAAAAAAAACGAAACCGACAATTATCGATGTTTTATCATAACTTAATCACAATTATAATTGATAAATGACACATATTTGTAAAGCTTAGATCCTCCTCTTTCATTTGATGCAAACCGTATAATGCATATTTTACGCATGAGTGATTAAATGAATTTTAAGAGAGGAAACTAACAAGTCATTTGGCGGACGGTATCTGAATTTCAATATATTTCAATCACATTTCTAGAAAGTTGAGTTTCTGCCCTTTCATATGACACCTCAGTCAGGAAAAATAAGCTTAAGTAGTGCTAGCATTTCCATAATATTATCAAATGAATTCGTTTTCACTGGGTGCCTGCCGTAGCAACAAACGGAATTAAAAAAAGATTCAACTCCCTTCGTTGACAATCAGCCGTAGACGAAAGACTTCATGCATGGCCGGATGCATGGCTGATTGTCAACGAAACAGAGTTTAGTCTGTTTTCAAGCCAGTGAAAACGAATTGAAAAGCTGTCCTGCGCTACGTCACAGAGACATTACCCATTCAGCCGATTAGAAGTGCCCGTAGTGATAACAACTTTTAACAATTCATAACATTCTCATTTTTCGTACGATATCAATCAAACTTTTACCAGTCTGCTTCTCAGACTTGTCTGCTTTCATTTAGAGTAGTTTTTTTTTTTATTGAGGTTGGATTTTCCTGTAAATGGAACGAACACTATTCCTACCCCTAACTCTAATCCTTACCCTAACATAAGTCAATTCCAAATCTAACCCTAACCAGGCGCGTACGCAGGATTTTTTCAAGGGGGGGGGGGGGGTTTAACATTTATAAATCGGGCCGAAAATTTCGCAACGACTCAGCCAGCCGCTGAATAAGCGGGGGGGGGGGGGGGGGGGGGGGGTAAGAGGTCACTTTTTCTTTTTTTGGGGGGGGTCCCAAAAAAATCGCAACGACTCAGCCGACCGCTGAATAAGCGGGGGGGGGGGGGGGGGGGGGGGGGGGGGGGGGGGGGAAGGGACACTTTTTTTTTTTTGGTCTCGAAATTTGAAAAATTGACATTTTGCTCCGTTGGGGGGGGGGGGTAAGGTCAGCTTTTTCAGGTCAACCATGGGAATTTTTTTTTTTTTTTTTTTTTTAATAAAAAAAAAAAAAAAAATCCAAAAGGGGGGCGGGGGGTTTTAGAGAAATTTAGGGGGGGGGGGGGTTTACACACAAAAAATTACCAAAGGGGGAGGGGGGTTTAACCCCCTAACCCCCCCCCCCCCCTCCCCCCCCCCCCCGTGTACGCGCCTGACTCTAACCATTCACCTTTGACGAAATAAAGCCAGAACAAGTTGACGGGGGATAAACAAACAAATGTTCGGTCGGCAAGGGCAGTGAAAATCACAAGGCAAAACAATGCGTTTTAGAAGGGGCACTGCCACTGATACCTATGAAAAGGGTATCCGATTGCTATGGAGTATGGTCTTCATGGCCTTTGATATATTTAAAGGCACACTGCACTACTTGTAGCTACTTGCGCCCTCTATATAACAAACAATGTCTAATCGGTGACCGTTGGTCCCCCATGATTCTCTTTTTCTTTATTAACTGAGAGCTGAGTTGATGAGATAACCACCTGTTCAGTGACCTTGCAGGACGGTCTAATCCTTCCTGTAAACTAGTACTGATAAGCTTTAAGCCCTGAAAAAATGTATTAGCGTAGTCATGCTTATATTTCATATATTAATTTTTCAAAAGCCTGAAAATATACCTTTTCACACCAAACAGAACAAAATGCAATGATAATTTGTTGATCAGTGTTGATTTTTTTTTATATCCCGTTTCTTACTCATTTCGCAGATTGTAGCAAAAACCTTTGTAACAACGGCTGGTGTGAGGAGACTATAGTAGGCTACAACTGTAACTGCTCAAGTGGATTTCAGGGGAGACACTGCGATGAACGTAGGTGTACTGTAATAGACGTATCGGGGGAAAGGGGTGGTCAATTAATAAACAAAGACCATGAAGAGACTTTCTACGGGGGAAAACTAAATTTGTTTGTTAGCTATTATACTTGCACGCAGTTTGCTGTATTTTTATACACATACATTCGGCACTGCACTGCGCCTCACCAGTACGACAATACATGACAGTGGCCAGTCCTGCAGCTGAAGAAGAAGAAGATGATGATTCAAACGATGATGGAGACGATTAAGAAGAATATACCCCGCTGTCCTCTTTTAGAACTTTTTGATAGTCTCTTGATTCCCACAGGAAAAGTTTTTTCCAATTTATATCCCCCCACCCCCCGATCCTATCCCCGTAACCTGGCCAAGGGCGCCTGGAGACAGCCGGCGGGGAAATAATTTCAGAGGAAATAATGTTATGCATCGCCGCATACCTCAGTTATGTTTTGAGTAATGTATGACGGAAGCGACGACCAAGCCCAAGACGAGCACTACGACTACGATGTCGGAACACTCAGACACAACGACTTCCCAAAACACCACTATAGCAATAGAAACATAGATATTACGTCATGTTTTTGCTCATTATCACAATGGGTCATGCCATTATAGCCCCCCTTCTCTTTCTATCGTATAACATCCTTCGAAATGTGCAAGTAAATATTGTAGAAAATCTTGCATTTCATCCCCCCCCCCCCCAAGTAGAAAAGAAATTCCCGCCCCTGACAACAACAAATACGCCACAGCAATACATTTAGATAAAATATTGGGCTAAAAAGTCCTTTCGACTTTGACAAAACACCCCTACATATAAATATTTTTCTGACACAGGTCATACCTTATAAAAGAAATGAGCTATACAAATTTCTATTTTTTCATGGAGCTAAACTTCCATCGTTTTGGCATTCTAATCATGTTAATGTGTCATTCCTAATCTCATCGCTTTGTACTTGTGGTTGCATTTGTTATAACCCTGAACCCTCAATTACATCATGATCATTCAACTTTAATAGTTATGTTTGTTGAAAACTTTTCAGAGTCAACAGAATCATCGACTATGGACGCAACGACCAAGCCAACATCGACTCCTACGACCACGATGTCAGACACAATGACATCGCAAGCTACAACCATCATAGGTAAGCAATAAAAACATTGAAATGGCGTCATAAATTTCATTATATATCTATAGCCATTAATACCCACCCTCCCTCTCTCTCTCTCTCTCTCTCTCTCTCTCACTCTCTCGCTCTCTCTTTGTCTGTCTTTATCTGACTCTTTATTTTCCGTGCCGTTTCCTTTCACGGAAGTCACGAAAATATTTTTAGGGGGGAATTGACCGTCGAATTGTTTACCCACGAGTTTGACGAAAGCAAATACGCCACAGCGGTATATTTAGATGAAATATTTAGCCCCCAAAATTCCTTCAACTTTGACAAAACACCACTAAATCTAAAAAAAATGCTAACTCTATCATCTCCATTTCGTACGAATCTCCCTGTTTTTCCATTGTCTTCCCGAATTTCCATTGTCTGAAAATCGTTCGTACGGCGTTCGTAGCAGTTCGTAATGGCATTTGTGACCGAGGCTTTAGTCTCTATCTGACTCTCTTTTTATTTGTCCTTTCCTTCCAAGGGCATGCTAAAACTTTTTTTTGAAGAGGGGGGGGGGGGGGGATACCAGTCTTTTTATTTTGCCCACGAGTATAATGAAAACAAACATGCCACAGGAACAAATTTAGATACATCATTTAGCAAAAAATCTCAATTAATCTACAAATTATACCTCATAAAAAAAAACTGTAAAAATCTGTTTTCATGAAGCTAAATTGTCTTCGTTTCGGTTTCTAGCCCTGTTTAGATATCATTCTGAATCTCTTTGCTTTGTACGTGTGGTTTCATTTGTTATAACCCTGAACCCTCAATTACATCATGATCATTAAAGTCAGTTATGTTTGTTAAAACAAAATTTTTAAGAGTCAACAGAATCATCAACTACGGTCGCGACGACCAAGCCCACGACGCGCCCTACGACCACTTTGTCAGACACAGCGACATCGCAAGAAATCACCACCTCCAGTAAGTAAGATAAAACAATGAAATGACCACGTGCATTCGATCATTATTATAATGGATCTAGTCACTACCCCTCTCCCCTACCCCCCTCTCTCTCTCTCTCTCTCTTTCTCTCTCTCTCTCTCTCTCTTTCTCTCTCGCTCTCTTTCTCTCTCTTTCTCTCTCTAACTTTAATATTATGAGATGATATAGCTTAGTGATAGAGCAGTGGTTTCGTATACGGGAGGTCCTGGGTTCGAAACCAAGTCGATGCGCTGGTGCCCTTTGGTAAGGCATTTATCCTCATTACTAAGTCCTTTAAGGAGGACTTAGTGCTGTCGGTCCCCTAGTTGCTTCACATATTTTCGTAGCAGTCAGGTAAACAAACAATATTAACCACAACAAAACCTGCAAAAAAACACATTGCGAATTAACCTGAATCTTATTATCAACATTACCATTTGTATTATTATTATCATTATCGTTTTTGTTGTCGTCATCATTTTCATCATTATTTATTCTACTTTGACTATTTAAGTTTCTACCCAAAATAATATATTTGTCTACTTTCTTAGGATTGAGTAATTTAAATATTGTTTTTATCTATTTAGCTTACCTAACTTCTACGGTGGAATACGTCGGGTCGTTCTACAATTTCAGCACTTCGGAGATGAGTCATGATTCCGCGGTTTCAGCTTGTTCCCAATACGGATCCCATCTGGTCTTCATCGAGTCCCAAGAGGAACAGGACTTCATCGAAAGGAGTGCCGGTGAGGACTACTGGATCGGGCTGACCGCCTCAAGTCCCGGTGAGGCAAGGTGGCTGGACGGATCAACAGTTACATATACCAAGTTTAACTCGCTATCGTTCGACGACCATGCAACCTGTTTTCGAATTAGAGAAGAGCATGGTTATACTTGGGAGGATAAGCCTTGCTACGCACGATTAAGATTCATATGCGAGAAATAATTGGGAATATAACAATTGGATTTGTTTCTTTCTATTGTTCATACTACCTGGTTGCACCACTGATTGCATCTGAACACCAAGATGGGGACAAGGCAATACCCCCCCCCCAAAAGAAGCTTTTCGGAGTTTTAGGAATGTTCGAGTTTGTGGGGTTTTTGTCGTTCCAGGCACTAATTTTCACATGAACAGCATTGAAAAGATTGTTAAAGAGATGTTAATTTATGATATTTAAAAGACGGATCACTTTTTATCTTTACATTCAAGCAATTTAAAAATAATCATATAAACAATTAGCATTGCCATTAGTGGCGGTTTATTCTTTTGTGTTTTAACGAATCTCGTTTTTGTTGCGAAGAGACTTAGTTCAAACTTCATTGTATAATAGTAATTAGGGCTTCATGAAATGATGAAACGTCATAGATATTTTAAAACATTACGGTGAAGTTTGTGTAATAAAGTAGTTATAGGGTCTATAATATGTATAAACATACATGTACATAATATACGTACTTATAGATTTACCTTCATAGAAATATACACAAACATATACATATACATGTAAATACACATATACAAATGCATATGCATATACTTATGAATATACATATCTGTCTGTGGTCTCGATTAATGAGCTCACACTTCAGATACGACTATAACTTAAAAACGAAACAAAAATATTATAATTTTAATGCGTCAAAAGGCACGGTAATTCATGACATTATTTAATAGTTTTAAGATTTTAAGATAGATTGCATTAATCTATACACGCTTCAGAGAGCAACATTGTTTTTTTAAAATGGTAGGTCAAAATTCACTTGTGCCAGATTTGGATGAAAGAGTGAAGGCTTTTTTAGAACGAAAATATGCCCTTTCACCCTCTCCATCGACAATATCTCAACAATGCATTATTTGTATGGTAAGGATGGCATTAATCTTGTCCTCATTATTGAAGCAAGCCCATTAAAAAAAAATCTTCTCATTCGCTTTTAAAATGTGTGTTTCTTTCAGAACATGTTCAGTCATGTTCGTGATTGGTATGATTTGTAGTGATTTAAGCAGGGGCCAATGACCTTTGACCTCTAATAAAATAAATCTCCCCAACCCCCATACCTCCTCCCTTTTTGGTGGTAGTTGTCCATACCCAAACCTACCAAAATCAGTTGAAACGAGCTTCTTTTAATTTTTTTCACAGATTGGCTTAATATATGGCTAATTTAGGGTTACTAACGTTTACACTCGGATTTCGACATGGCATTTTAAAAAACAATGTTGCTCTGTGAAGTGTGTGTAGATTAATAATAATGATAACAATATTCCACTTTTATATAGCGCCCAATACATCGATGCAAGGATGTGCCTGAGCTATATTATATAGTATTATTATTATAAGATATATTATTATCCCGGTCATCGGATTCAGGCTTACCCGCACACAATATATACACATTCTCCACTCCCTGAGGAGCATTCCTACCAATCGCCATTTTACATGCACACACTTGCTCATCCAATCCAACCACATCAAACACCTGGGTGGAGAGTGGCAAATGTAGATTAACGTCTTGCCAAAGGACATAAGTGCTGCGGCGGGACTCGAACCCTGTGCCTTGTGATATTCAGTCGGGTGACCTATCCACTAGACCACAACACCTCTACATGCATTTAAATTATCATTAAAAATAAACCTATTACACCCACTCTTTATAGAAAGGACAAAATTATTTGTATTCAGCTCATCATTTGCCCTCAATAACCATTTGTTTTTCGGGTTTCTTTTTTTTTTACTGGGGCGAACTTCCTCACAGATTCTTTTACATAAAGATACTATGAATAGTAGCCTCACTGAAATCATATCTAAAATCTATTTATCTCCTCATAAATTGCATAATTCATTATTATAATCGGTATCATTAATTTTTTCAGTATTTAGGTGATACGTACGTAGACGTATCACCTTTTGATTTCGTCAAGATTTTTATTATTTATTTATTTATTTATTTATTTATTATTATTCTTCCTCGAATTTGTTCGCAGGATATCTCAAGACTGAATAAAGCCATTATCATGAAACTTGCCATGATGACAGATCTTAGTCTAACTTAGAACTGCGTGACTTTTCAAAGACTAAAAATTATCGTGACGTCATCCAGGCGCCATTTTGTGAAAATAAACTTATGATCATATCTTCATAACGGAAAGGAATTTTTCATTCATATTTATCAGGAAGAAGATCAATATCCATCCGGTCAATTTCAGATCAATAAACGTGCGTAAAAGCGCGCGTGCGCGTTCGTACGCGCGTTTACGCGCGCGAAAAAAATTAAAATGCTCCAAATCATCCCAAATTTTTTTTGCATACGTTTCAGGCCATATGGAGCATTTGACAAAAAATCACGCAAACGCGCATGCGCGCGCGTTTTTTGCGCGTACTAGCATTTTGCAACATAGAATCGCCGAATGTTCTCTATCATCATATTTGGTACATCTTTCCAAGCATTTTGATAACTTGTTCACCTTTTAATAACGCAATGAGCGTCCGTCAAAGTTGACAGCGCGCGCGGACCTGCGTTATCTTTATCCACAATACATGAGCAAAAACATGTCTATACAAAATTCTTTGTAACTCTTCAGAATAGATAGAAACTCCCAATATTTTTTCATATTTAGATAGGTTATAAGTTGGAGATATGATTTCATGTCTCATTTGACCCTCAATTAACTCATAACGTCATCATAATGGCCTCCAAACTCAAAATTTCAATTTGCATATTATGACGTCAGCATAATTTTGGAAAATTGATTGTATCTCTGTAAATATTGATTGATTTTCTTTTAAATTTTGATATGTTCTACCTGAGACAATTTTCTACAAATAAATAATCCACAATTTTCCATTTTGACAAAGGCATCATGGCGTATTTTTGCAATTAAAGAAGGCATGTCAATTTTTCACATTTTACGTGTATTCTCTATGGGACATGACTTTTTCTCAAAACTGGATTCTACACTCCTGTCTTTCGCGAGCAAAATCTCTGTTGTTTTAGCTTCGTTTTCGCTGAACTTCGGATATGTTGTAGCTGAGACAATGAGCTATCACAAGTGCGCCCTTTATTTTTCGATTAGATGCCGGGATCATGCTCATATTTCACTTGCAAAGTAGGATTTCAGAATTCCATTTCCCGTTTACGTGTAATCGCTATGGGAAATGTTTTGGTATATCGGTAACGCACTTGACTTCCAATCTCGAGATCCCTGGTTCGAGTCCGGGTGTCTCCAACAATTTTTTTCTTCACTTTTTTTTCCTTTTGACCTTCACTGTACCATCTCCTTTGATTATTAAAACACGTAGAATCGCAAATAATGTCACAAACAACCCTTTTTACTCTATTATTACCCTATTTTCACTTAATCCATTACTTTTTGCGTGTAATCCCTATGGGAGATGACTTTTTCTAAAATCTGGAGTCTACATTCCTGTCTTTTGCGAGCAATATCGCCGTTATTTCGGCTTGGATTTTGTTGATTTTTTAGTATGTTGTAGCTGAGACTATATGCTATCTAAATCAACCCTCATTTTTTCAATAAGATGTCATGATCGCGCTCATGATCATGATCATGATCATCATGATCATCATTATCATAATGATGATAATCATTTATCAATTACATTTTCATTTCTTTGAATAAGATAAAAATCGTCAAAAGGTGTTATTCATGATGTAAATTAGAGTCAAATGTGTAACTGGTTACTGCACAGGGTCAAAGGTCATATATTGTTTCAATCTATCTTCCCTAGATCCATGATGATCAAGGAGACACAATTTAATCTTGACATATGAAAAGATCATAATGGGAGAAGCATATGAATGGGAGAAGCATTTTACAAAATAATATATCGTGTAATGCATTATTCGTTATGTAGACCATTATCATACGTATCACCTAATTCGTCTAAGTGACGAATTAAAGTCTAGTTAGGTGATACGTAACGAAGTCTACGTATCACCTTTTGATTTCGTCAAGATTTTTATTTATTTATTATTTATTTATTTATTATTTATTATTCTTCCTCGAATTTGTTCGCAGGATATCTCAAGACTGAATAAAGCCATAATCATGAATCTTTCAATGATGATAGATCTTAGTCTAACTTAGAACTGCGTGACTTTTCAAAGACTCAGAGTCATCGTGACGTCATCCAGACGCCATTTTGTGAAAATCAACTTATGATCATATCTTCATAACAGAAAGCCATTTCTCATTCATATTTGTCATGATCAAGGTCAATATCTGTCGGGTCAATTTCAGATCAATGAATGCGCGCAAAAATGCGCGTACGCGTAGGTGCGCGCGTTAATGCGCGCGTAAAATTTAAAATTGCTCAAAATCGTCTTAAATTTTTTTTGCATACGTTTCAGGTCATTATAAGCATTCATAAAAAATCGCGCAAAACACGCATTTTTGCGCGTTTTCGTTCGTCACGGCCGAACGAAAAATAATTCCTCCGCTAAAACTTTTAACAGGATATTCCTCATAATTTTCCGAACAATTTGATACCAAGTTTATCTCTTTATCACTATTAATAACGGAATGAGCGTCCGTTCAAGATAACCGTCCGTACGCGCGATTTTTGTATTACATAGCATATATGGGCAAAAACATGCCCATAACAAGTCCATTGAGATGAATAAGGAGTGCCTATTTTTTGTCC